ATGTATGGACTGTGATAAGAATTGTACGAGCCCCCAATAAAATAATTTAAAAAGAAAAAAGAAAGAAAGAAAACACAAAATGTCGGACAGCTGTCTTCCCTCTAAAAATGCTAACTAGTGCTACCACTAGGTATGATTCATAACAGCATAACCTAGAGTGCTTTTTAACCTTTTCGCTATTGGGATCTGTTTACATTATGTGACACTGAGAGTGGCGACATATCCCTTCCAAACGTTGCCAGAACTGAGTCAGCGTGTTTATACACATCCACAGGCCCCCAGGAAAGGCACTGGGCCACATGTATACTTGTGTTCAGTATTTAAAGGGTAAACAAGGGAATTGTGTGTACGGCATTGCCTCAATCTCCCCTAAGCGCTATTTTCTTCATAATAATTTTTTCTATTTTCATTATATTTCAGAGCATCGCAGGCCACAAAAAATTACCTCTGGGGCTGCATGCGGCCCACGGGCCACCAGTTTGACACCCCTGGTCTAGCATAACAGTTTTAGGTTTTTTATGTGTTGTGAATTAATCTGTAATGAATGTCAAATATACAAGTATTAAGTTTTTTTATGTAAGTGGAAATTAAAGTTCATTTTCGAGTCTGTACTTTGAAACATGACATGCTCTGAAGTTACAGATTAAGACTTGCTCTGGATGGCTTGTACCAAGTAGGTAATTCCATTGCTGAATTTTTTTGTGTGTACACGGATGTATCCCTATATTTAATATACCTTTGGCTGCCAGGTGAGAAAGGAGGTGAGAACATTTTTAATTAACAAGTTTCCTCTTAGCAAGTTTGTCATGTAAACCCCAATCTCACTGCCATCAAGTCGAGTCCAACTCATGGCAACCTTCCTTGCAGGACACTGCCACTGGGGGTTTCTAAGACTAACTCATCACAGGAGTAGAAAACCTCATCTTTCTTACTTGGAGAGTCCTTTGGGTTTGAACTGCTGACCTTACAGATTGCAACCCATTGTGTAACTACTATACCACCACTACATGCTATATTCAAACAAATAGTTTGTAGGTATTTTCATATAATTCATCTGAGAGGACTCACATTGTGCAGATACTACTACTACTACTACTACTACTACTACTACTACTACTACTGCTGCTGCTGGTATGAAAATGGAAAATCCACTTACCTTATTTGGGCTGGAAAAAAATTAGAGCCAGAACTTCAAGTTTAGATGGACTTTGGATGTGTATCTAGAAGAGAAGGGAGGATCCCACTAAAACTGCAGGCTAGAAATTAAAGTCAAGTTTACAGAACAGTGACCATCTTTTAAAATAGGTTTTAAGAGAATGGAGAGAGAATATCAGCAGCATATGAGTTTTTATTTTGTGAAACTTACTACCGGGTGTGTGTGTCTCAGTACAAAATGTTTTTTACCCTGGATCACAATAAAAGGTTTTAGAGCCATAGTTGTGGGCAGTTCTCTAATTTTGCTGTGCTTAAGAATTTTCTGCTCAGGGCCCTTTAGTAAAATGCACATTTGGGGCTTCTGATGCATGTGGTTCATACTTTGGAGAATAATGGAAGCAATGATAATTGGCTTATTAAAATTTAAACTGCAATATAGAATAATGTTTGAATCATTTTAATTAGTTACCTAATTAGCATTATCCAGTATTTTAGCAAAAGTGGAAGCATTTTATAATAATTATAAAAAGGTAGCAAAAATTGTTAAGGAATGTAGTAGAGAATTTTTATACTCCTAAAAGTATGTTTCTTCCACTTTAGGTGTGAGTGATGTAGATTATAGTCTCTATCCAAATAGAGACCTACAGGGACAGTGGCTGCGCTCTTACCTTGAAGCCTACAAAGAATATAAGGGCTTTGGAGCTGAAGTGACTGGAAAAGAAGTAGAAGTTCTTTTCATTCAAGTCAATCAATTTGCATTGGTAAGTCTCCAAGACCCAAACTCGTTACTTTAATGAGTCAATTCTGCTTTAAATATCAAGAACTGATTAAAAAAACCCTCTTAAGTATAATTTAAACATTTCTACAATTTATCATCTTTAAAATAGTAATTTTCCGTGTAAAATTTTATGAATCTCTGTAAAAATAATGATTTAAGAAATAGTGAATTGGAAAAACCCCCAAAAAACATGATCTACAACTTTCATGAGTGTATAAGATACTTGAAGACCAAATTTTGTTTTTCTTACTGCTGTATCCTCTAGAACAGTGCCTAACCACATCGATAAGGTCCTCACTAATTATTTGTTTAATAAATGGATTCTAGTTAGGGTTAAAATTAATGTTTGAAGCACTTTTTTAAATGTTCTATCTTTTCTCTCTTTTTTTTCACTCTGGAAAGCATATAGCCAAGCCTACATTTAAGGGAAATGAGGTATTCCATGGCTTATTTAATGACCTCATCTTAATGCTATGATAAAAACAGGTTGAAAAACCAGTGGAATTATTTTCATAGCTGTGCCAGTGTATTGATATTTTGCCCTTTTTTCCCCCTACAAGCAGTTATTTTAAGACTCTGAGGTTTTGATGCTTATATTATTCTTTTAAATTTATCTTTTATTTTTTGATGCTTATATTATTTTTAAGACCCTCTTTTTACATGCATGTACTTTTGAAAAAGTTATCTTTTGAAATTGACATGATGACTTAAACTGGGATTTTTGCTTTCAGTTAAGATACTAGACACAAATGTATGTTAGCTGTGTCTTGGATGCTAGGTTCTAGTAATTTTAACTACTAGCCTTATTATAGCTACATTTTTGCTTTTAATGTGATTATGTAATTGCCAGGGTAGATTTACTCTGTGTTACCTTTACAAATCCTCATGTGTGTGCTGTTTCATAGCCTTAAAAATAGTACTTTTTCAGAGCCATTCAAAATATACCTCAAGTAAAAAGGAGTACTGAAATGTTGTTTTGCCTGCGGTTCTGACAGCTATTTTCAGTACAACTGTTGGTTAAATTAATGGCATGATCTTCACCTGGTCCCTGGAATGTGTGCGTTTTCTATTTATTTAAGTTTGATCTTAAAGGAGAGAATATAGGATTTTTCTCTACCTCACCAGGCCACTTAATTAGACTGCAGGATCAACTTAAAGCTTTTTGGTCTATTTCTATCTTAATATGCAGAATAGTACTGTTTTTGTAGTTTGTATTTTTTTTCATGTACCCATTTAATTTCTAATATTCCCAAGGTATTACAATTCTCTTCATTTTCACAATAGCTCCACTTAATACTTTCATAGTAAGATCATTGTTTACTATTAGAGAACTAACTTGGGTTTCATTTAAACCTTTGATGATGTTTAACAGGTTTTGGATATTGTTGTTGGTTTTCTAGATGGCATTGAAAAATGCCGATTATTTCATCACAATTGTTGTCAATAAGCTCTACCAACTGCCCAGTCCCTGTATAGGGTTTCCAAGGCTATCAATCCTTTTGGGAGTAGGTAGCCTTGTATTTCTCCCATGGAGCAACAGGTTGCTTTGAACTACCGAATCTTGCAGTTAGCAGTCCAGTGCTTATCTCACAGTGTCACCAGAACCCTTTATCTAGGTCGGACAGATTAGAGGATTAAAAAAATGAAGTAAGACATGTTGCATTCCATCAAGCTGCTGATAATTAAGAAAGTCAAATAAGATGGAGAAAGTAGTTTTATTTTGATATTTTCCCCCTCTAATAAAACTCAGCACCCCCTTTTAATTTAAAATACATAACAGATTTTTAGAATTAGAGAACTACTAAGTTAATTCCATGAAATAGCACATTTTATACTCAATAAAATTTTAAAATTCAGTACATCTGATGGAATAATGATAAGAAAGCTTTAGTGCTGTTTTAGTAATATTTATTTCCCATTTAAGGAGTCATGATGTATTCTGAAGTTCTGATACCAATTCCTAGTTTTTCCTCATTGTCAGTAGAAATCTTTATTTATTAAGCCAGTTTTTGTCTGACTTCTTCTCTTGACTTAAATTAAATTGCTAATGATTTTTGAAGTTTTTTTCTTCTCTTAACTCTTTTATACCATTTCCCCTTGGTCCTTCTACTGTTTTTCCTTTCCTGCTTAATCTCCTAACATAGCTGTTTCTTTATCTCCTGCCTACTGGCTTGGTGTCTTAGGGTTCTGTTTGGGCTCCTTTTCTTTACAATTTATATCCACTTCAATTTAGGTAATCTGGTCCCATGACTTTAATTGCCTTTCTGTAAATGCTTCCACTTTGTGTATTTATCCACGTTTGAACTTCAAATCAGTTCTCATTCTGATTTCTAACTGGTGGTCTATTTGTATCTGACTACAATATGTCTAACCATATGGCTTTTTCTCTACCTGATTCTCTCTATATATATTTAATAAATCATTTTATTGAGGACGCTTAGAGCTCTTACAACAATCCATACATCAGTTGTATCAAACACATTTGTACATATGTTGCCATCATTTTCAAAATATTTTCTTTCGGCTTCAGCCCTTGGTATCAGCTCCTCCTTTTTTCCTCCCCTCCCCCACACTCCCACCCTCATGGATCCCTGATAAATTATAAATTATTATTTCTTATTTCATATAATTCACCATCCACTGTGTCCCCTGGCCGCCCACGTTTCTGTTGTTGATCCCCCTGGTGGTGGTGGGGGTATACGTCTATCATTATAGTTGCTTCCCCCTTTCTCCTCCTTCTCCCCCCGACTTTCCCCCCTACCCTCATGGTATCACTACTCCCATTGCTGTTCCTGAAGGGTTTATCTGTCCTGAATTCTGTGTGTTGAGAGCTCTTATTGTACCAGTGTGCATGCTCTGGTCTAGTCAGATTTGTAAGGTATAACTAGGGTCATGATAGTAGGAGGGATAGTAGCATTAAAGAACTAGAGGAATGTTGTGTGTTCCGTTGGTGCTGTGCTGCACCCTGGCTGTCTTGCTCTTTCCTTGTGACCCTTCTGTGAAGGAATGTCTAATTATCTACAGATGGGCTTTGGATGTCCACTCTGACTCCCATCATTTGCACCGATATGTGTTTGTTTTAGGTCTTCTGATGTCTGAATAACACTTCATGATCACACTGGCTTTTGTGCTTCTTCCATGTGGGCTTTGTTGCTTCCCTGCTAGCTGACTACTTGTTTAATTTCAAGCCTTTCAGATCCCAGATGTTGTATCTTTTAATAACTGGGCATCATCAGATTTCTTCACCACATTTGCTTATTGTGTTAGTTTGGGTTGACTAGAGAAACAAATATATAGACACATGTGTATAAGAAAGAGCTTTATTTAAAAGAATAATTGTGAGAAAACATCCCAGCCCAGTCCAGATCAAGTCCAATATTACCCCATATGTTGATATAGTCCATAAATTCCTCTTTAGACTCACGCAGCCATGCAATGACGCTGAATGCAGGAAGATCACAGGTCAGTGGGTGGAAAGTCTATGGATAAGAAAGAGCTTTATTTAAAAGAATAATTGTGA